GGAAATGCAGGTTTTTTGTGAGGGTCAATTAAAACACAGGTGCAGCCTGCAGCCTGTTCTCTGCTGTGACAGCAGCCAGCTCTGGTGTCCCCGAGAGGCCTACTTAGCCAGAGTCAGGCCTGCAGATAGGCCTATCAGGGGCACCAGAGCTGGCTATTTAGCCTGAGTCAGACCTGCAGATAGCCAGCTCTGGTGCCCCCGATAGGTCTATTTAGCCAGAGTCAGGCCTGCAGATAGCCAGCTCTGGTGCCCCGGAGAGGCCTACTTAGCCAGAGTCAGGCCTGCAGATAGCCAGCTCTGGTGCCCCCGAGAGGCCTACTTAGCCAGAGTCAGGCCTGCAGATAGCCAGCTCTGGTGCCCCTGATAGGCCTATTTAGCCAGAGTCAGGCCTACAGAATTACCTGAGATAAAAACATGAGCTAAACGGAAAAAATGAGCTTTTAAATTGTACAAACCTATTTCCAAAGAAGTTAGGGCGCTGTGTAAAATAAAAATAAAATGCAATGAATTATATAAACATATTTAAATGAAAATAGAACAAAGACAACATATCAAATGCTCAAACTGGGAAAAGTTATTGTTATAAGCTAAATTTGAATTTGATGGCAGCAACACATTTCAAGAAAGTTGGGACAGGGATGTTTACCACTGTGTTGCATCACCTTTTCTTTTAACAATGGTGTTCTTGACAATTGCGATTCCAGCCCACTTGAGTAACACTTGTCACACACGCTGGGAGTCTGGGGTCAGCATGTACTTACCGCTGTAATTGCACCAATCAAAAAGCCTTTCTTATACTAATCCATGGCAGTGCAGTGAAGGTGCAGTGAAGGTGCAGTGAAGGAGAACTCTGCGAAGCTGGGTCGCCCGTCAGATGCTGCTGGTTTACATTACGCCTGCACCGTCATTCAAAAAAATGTCATTCTCAGCTTCAGTCAACCATTAGTCAGACACAAAGGGCAGGCTGAAGTGACCACAGCCGGCTGGACGTGCATATTTGCTTATCCTGGCCTCTCCTCTGGGCTCAAACCGGCTGCGAGAGCTGTGCCACTGAAATAAGGCTGTATTTGACATTTGTAGGAAAACAAGTACGGCTACAGTGGAATGCTTCATTTTGCATTTCCCATCATGCACTGCTCTGACACATAAACACATGCAAGGGTGAAGCTTGGAGTCCGCATGCAGGGTCAGTGCCTCTGAGGAAGTCAGGGAACTAAGGGCCCCGCTCAAGGGCCCGATGGCGGCATCAGTCTGCTGGCCAGGGGATTTGAACTGGCAACCTTGGTATCACAAGCACAGAGCCCAAACCCACTGAGCCTGATCCCCCCCCCCCCAACACTGGTCGCAACACTGCAGCTGCACCTCCAATTCACTTCAGCAAAGGGCTAGGGATCAAAACACTGAGCAGCGAGACTTTCAGATACTCAGCAGAGCTATTAATCAACCAGCATCAGTAAGTAGAGAATATATAAGCAGTGACAGCCGGCCTCAGCTGGGATGGAACCCACCTCCCTGGCACAGGCTGATCTGCCCAATGAAATGTCTGGCAACAAGAAAAGCCAGCTGAACACTTAGCGCCAGGCTAATCTGCGCTTTCATCACTTTGACGTAATAAACCGTTATGAAACCAGAAAATGTGATTTAATATTGTTTAGCAGGACTTGTCACTAATTTAGATTAAGCTGCAGCTGATTGTGGTTTGAAAACAATGGGTCCATTGAGTCTGCACTCAACCTAAAGGTAACAAGGATTTCTGGAGATAATCTTCAAAATGCTTCTGTTTTTGGAGTTGGGGATCCACATCCTCCTGCGAGGAGAAGTCACTGGTGCATGGTGATTAACACTGTGCCCTTGGGGTTTAGGAGCTCTGCTGCCCCCTGCAGGGCTAAGCGGTATTGCCCCATGGAGGAACTGCAAGAGCGCACAGGTGAAATGAATACTTGGCTTTTTTTTTTTTTACTATAATTTAGAGAGGAAGACAGGAAGCATTTCTCAAAACGGGGTTGGCAGGGAATGTTAGAAAGATTGCAGCTAGCAAAGGCTGCCCATTAATGTCAGAAATGGAATGGAAAAATACACACTGGAAAATATGTAGCATCATTAGTGGGTAGAAGACAACGGTGACTTAAACTCACAAGAGCGTGTAATGGCCATACACTTGGTCATTTAAGTGTTTTCCCTGCCGAAATGCCACTGAAAACCAATCACTTCCAGTCCAGACTGGAATAGCATGTTTGCAAACAATGTATCCCTCCCAACATCAGCGATTGCTCCTGTATGCTGGCTTATTCATTCATTCATTCATTCATTCATTCATATCTGCCCTGTGGTCAGCAAACAGGAGAAACATTAGGCTGCTTCATCTACAATAGCAAACAGCAGGGGTCTTCCGCCTGCGGCATGTGCAGCATTTCCAGCAGGTTTATGTATCCTGAGTCACTTACGTAACCACAAATTTACGGTAGGGGGTCCCGGGTTTAAGAAGGCCCAGTCCTAGAGGAGGGTCTCTGTAAAACCTGTTTACCTATTATCTACCTCCAATTCGCTCACCAGTATCCCAGACTATCCATTGTATATTGTTACAGATCCATTCTCACGTGCCATCCCAGCTGCCCCATGCCCTTCTCACTGCAGATGGCCAGCGAGGGCACACGTTCATTCCGGTACCTTCAGCTTGAAATCCCAGGCCGGCCACCCAGACCGACGGCTTTCACTTCAGCAGCGAGCACTCAGGACAGCATCCTGAACCTCAGCCGGCATCCTGCCGATCCAGAGAACCACGCAGAACAATCGCCACCACATACTGGTCCACCATCCATCTTCTGCGCCGCTTACCCAGCATGGGGTTGCAGTGACCCCTGAGGCTATCCCAGGAAGTGCAGGGCAAGAAATACCTGCACTGGATGCCATCTGGGCTACGTCTCATCCCTCCAGACGTCCCTGCAGACGGCCGCTCTTTTACGGAAGCAGTAAGTACAGAACGAGTGCAGAAGTCTGGCGGCTACGTTCCCCATAACGAAGTGACTCAGACTCAGAAATCCACCTTTGTTTACACACAGCTGCTCCCGCTGCCGATATGGGCCGGCGGATTTCGAGCCACTGCTGCAGAAGAACAGGCTTCTTGAGTGTGTGCGTACGTGCATGTGTGTGTGTGTGTGTGTTTGTGTCGGGGGGGGTGTATTGTGTGTAACCCCTGGTTACAACAGAGCTTATTTTCCCTGGAATTCATTTTCCCTGCCCTGCCTGCGACTGCGTTCGGCTGCACTAACCGAATCCGCGGGGGAATCAGGCCGGTTGGGCCCAATTCAGTCCACAATTAGACGGCTCAGCTAAAAATACACTGAACGACAAACCTACTTCCAAGAGGTTCAAGATGTGAACTGCACTGTTATTGTGTTTTCATTGCCATAATTCAACTTCCAACACAGTAAAAATGAGCACAGTTTTACTGTAAATGAACACAATTTACCACTAGTGGGGGGAAAGAAAAACAACATTAAAGACTTTTATTGAGAACCTGAGGTTCCCTTGTGCCTGCAAACTCTGTTAAATGCTCCTGTATTTATCGTCTTGCAGTCATGTTATAAAGTAGGAGATGGGTGTACATGCAAGTCCACTCTGCTCCCAGCTACGCATCTGATCTGGAATCAGCCAGCTGGACACAAGCAGACACGCTCCTCTGTCTGATGATCCAGCCGCCCCCCCTCGGTGTCCCTCGCTCCTCTTGCTCTGGTTTTGGTTGCCAGTCGTCACAGCCGTCCACGGAAAAAAGGACTCCCACGTCTGGCCTGGGGGGAGAGGGGCGGGTGGCTGCCGGCTGGCATTGGCCAAGCCCCTCGAAAGGGGGCCACAGTAACCTGGCCGCCGCCCCCACATCGGCCTGCGCGGAGCTGGCGTGGCGTCCCAGCCCCCATATGGTCCTTATTACGCACCCGGTATAAAAGCAGCACCGGTCTGGCCAGAGTCGCACTGTCTGGCCATGGAGGGAAGCGTCCTGGTGTTTCTGCTCTGCCTGCAAGCCGGGCTGATCGCGGGCTCGCCGGACTGCGCCGACGGGGGGAGGTCGCGGCGGGCAGATGGGACGCCGTGCCGTAGCCTGCGGGCCGCCGAGGAGGTAAGGGGACGTGTCGCCGACCTCTCGTGTCCGTCAGGTGGGAGCCCTGTCTGATCCCCCCCGAGCTTAAACACGGGGTCCATCTGCTCTGCTGCGCACTTCGCGCTTGGAGAGACTCCATACATCCTTTAAAAACATATATATTTTTTTTCATTTTAAAACGTCTTAATGGCACTGCTTCACCGCTCTGCCAGAAACCGCGACTGTCACACTTAATTACAGATCTTCAAGTGGTTTTAAACAATCCGGCTCTTTGACAGAATATGGAAAAAGGGTATAAACATGCGTAAAAAACCATGGCCTTCATGCGGAAAACGGTTCTCTTAATTGCCGGCTTTTGGCATCGTGTCTTAGCTTGTAAAAGTGTGTTTTGTAATGCACTCTTTTAAAAAATCCAGCTGCTTAAGGATGAGTGCAGTTTTATGTACAATAGCTATAAAAACTTACCGGACACATGTTCCACCAAAGGCTTTGAGAGCTTTGAGGTTGTTATGCAGCGGGGGGGGCAGTGAGTGGCTGTAGCCCCTGATCAGCCAGCCCTCCACCCAGCATGCATTTTTTAAGCGCCAGTCAGCTCTCCTCTGGGCTTGACTGCATTCCCGCTGGCCTCTCCCCCCACGGCGGGGGAGCGTAATTGCAGGGAGCTCTGCGGTGAGCACAGCAGGGCCTGGAGGTCCATTACGCACCAGAGGCTGCGTGTTTAGCTTTCAGTCTCCTTTTTCCCAGGAACTTCACTATACTAACATTTACATTCTATTTCTTTAGCAGACACTTTAATTCCAAGCCAATAAAAAAAAACAGGCTCAGACAGTCCTTGGTGCCATTCAGGATCTAGGGCCCTGCTCAAGGGCCCAATAGCGTCATCACTCTGTTAACTCAGGAGCTGGAACCAACAACATCACAATCAGGGGCACAGCTCAGATCAATGAGAAGCTCAGATTTATACTTTAGCTGCATTTTGGGGCATTTTGCTCTCCATCAGTATTCGAGGAAGGCTCTTCTATACTGTGACCCAATGTGAGCTTCCGCTTCCAGTAAAATTAGCACGTTTAGCTGATCTCAAGTGACGTTCACACCCGCCATGATAAATCATGTAGCGTCTTTGGCTGGGGCAGGGAACCGGCTTGCCAACCAATCAAAGAGCAGCATCCTTAATTACCATTATGTGCCTGCATATGGAACTCCTCAAATATTAGCACCTACTCAACTTACCACTTGTGTGCTTATGAAGTTTTATACATTTAATAACTTGCAGACTAACGAATGTTTTCCTTTCGTCTGTGGTGCTGCATATGGCCACAGCCCTGTTTCCATTCTGCCCCACCCAAAATAGCCCACAGCCAATCAGCAAACAGTCCATGGTGTCTTTGGAAGGGACTGAAAGTTTCTTTCTTTTTTTTTTTTTAATCCTCAGTCAGACAAAATCCTGCCATCACCACACCGGGCACCATCTGGACACCTCTGGGCCGCCAGTCACGCGCAGCCAGTACGGGTAAGACCTTCAACCTTCTCCGCACCACAAAGTCAGTTTCAACATATCAGGATTTCAAGTGCGAAATATGGGGTCTAAGTTTTAAAATGTAATATACTTATGAATCGCAGGCATACGTGACCAGATATACAGTCACACAAGGAATGGAAGCTGTCCCAGGCAGGAGGCAGGGGAACGTTCCGGAAGGGATGTAACTCTAGGAGAACTTACACACTTACACAGCCGTACTCTCCGGGCAACTGAGACACAGCGGCAGCGCTGGTCAGCCCGTTAGATGGTGTAGGCGGCGCCGGAGGAGCCATCTTCTCAGGCGGTGCTGAGAAGAAGCCAGTTTCATGTCGTCTTGGGCGGGGGGGGAGTCGGGGGGGGTGCGCCAGCGGTGAGCTTACCCAAGGTGCCACACGGGATTCACACGGGATTCACACGGGATTCACACAAATGTATGTTTCAGGAGAGTGAGCATACAAAGCGTACACACAGAAAGCAGGAAGTGGGACTCAAGCCCTGAACTCCAGGGGTATAAGGCTACAGTGCCACACCCACCGAGCCCCCGGACCCCCCCCAGAAAGGCCACGCCTGAGGCTCATCTTGTCGTCTGTAGGCCAGTCTTCGGTCCTCTACCGATTGGCAGCTCTGCCTGTGGTCTCCTGTTCCCATGGTCTGAGCGCCCCCCCCCCCCCCCCCCCGTGCAGAGGGGAGGGTGACACGACGGGTCGGTACCGATGCTGACAGCTGACCGACAGAAGCGCCGTCCCTGAGCTGTAGTGATAACAATAACAATACTGCTAGCACAGGGGCACCAACAAAAAGAGCACATCTGACTGCGGAGATTTAAACCCGGCGCTGCCATGAGACGCGGAAATAAACCCCCGAGGGCTATCAGAGGCAGAAGGGCCGTGCTGGGTACCCTGGCCGCCTAAACGCTTAGGGCCTGATAGCCTGCAGCTTTTGATTGTCCTCTGAATCCCGAGATTCGCTCTCTATCTCTGCAGCCCATTACTTTCCGAGATAAAAGTCACTCGTGCAGCTCTGACTTCAATGGGCTCCCAGCTGCTCATTTCTATATACCCTCATCTGCCTGTATCGGTCCCGTCTGGAAAGATCCCTTTGAACAGCTCCTATCTATCATCACAGGCCTCCAAACATCCTGAGATTAGGTCTCCCCTCGTGCGCTTTGGCAGGCAGTCCAGGCTCGTACCCCTGCTGTATATAGGAACGTATCTGGTATCAGTACAGCTTTGGATGACCTCTTAAAGGCCATTCGAGGTGAAGTAACCAGGGCCGATCGCAGTGTTCTGAGCCACGTCTCACTAAAAACATTCTCTCTCTTTGTATAACACGTTCTAAACCAAAAGCCACTACTTCATTTATGCAGCCACAGAAACCATTTAGCTGAAGTACTTTGCTAAGGTACACAAGCTTTAAAGGGCCCTGACCTTGGACCTTTGATCGCTGTCAAACCAAGTTCCTGAGCCTTAAAGCTACCCGCCCACAGTATGTCGCGAACACATCTCCCAACTGTGCAATAACTGACAGTCTCTGTTCACCGACACGCTAATCTGCAGCTTCAGAGGGCGAGGCGACAGACTGACCACCACAGTAAGAGGAAGAAGACAGACAGGCCTGGCTCCTTTTCCACGTCCAACGTAAGCATGCTTCCTCACCCGCATCTGCGCTGAGCTCCCTGTCACACGAGCAAAATTTCAGCCGCTTATCCAGTCCTTCTGGGGCTCGAACAAGCAACCTTTAGATTACTGGTTCACAACCCTGACCACCATGTGACCAACTGCCCCACTACATCACCAGGGAATGTAAACCACCTCACTGATTTAAAGACCACGGGGAGAGACGGTGGACGCTGCCTTCTGCTGTACTACGAAGCAGGGTTACTGGCTTATCGGGGTAACTTGTCGGATTTAAGGTACCACAGTTTAAACGGACTTCATATTCGTTCACTTACATGTTGCCCAGACTACCTTAAATCCGACAAGTTACCCCGATAAGCCGGTAACCCCCCTTCGTAGTACAGGCCCCACGTCTCTCTCTGTGCCGCTTTTCAGCTCTGGGGTTTTGCTGCACAAAACAGCTTCCCATTCATTAAGTGCCACTACACAGACACAGCGATCAATGCCAGGGCTCTACTTACCACCCCCCCGCCCGCCTCCCCCCAGTCGATAAGACGCCCTGGCTTGTCGCAATCATTGCACAATTCAGCCAATGTCTCATGCCGGCAGGTCACGTGGAACCCCGATTGGCTGAAAGGCACGGTGGTGAGTGCAGTATCCCCACAGGGACAGACACGACTGCTGTGAGGTCGTCGGTCCGTTTCGACGTTTTAGCTTGAGCGGACGCTGAATGCATTCAGGCTCCTAGTGCCCGGCGGCCATAAGCACTGACGTGATCCTTTGTTGCTGCTGACGCTGTTTAGACTTCGGGCACAAAAAATCACCTTCAAAAGGGAAGCAGTCACCAGAAAGTGCCCGACCACCACGAGGTCGCATCCGAGACGAGCCATTCCGAGCCGCCCCACCTGGTGAGTGCCTCCCCAGCCCCCCACGCTGCCCAGACACATATTCCCAAAACATAGGATGGCTCATTATTATTCATGAAGGCAGTGCTACAACAGCTTGTCACTGGCCAATCGGGTAACACCTCCTCTATGAATATTAATGAGCATTCCACTGCCATCCTTCTCATTGGCCAATCAGATAGCACTCAAGGATCTCATTCCCTTGTAGACGGAGTTGGAGAGAAGACAGCAGCCCGTGTTCAGGAAGAAGGCCAGGAAGAAGCCTCGGGTCGGGTCCTTCTCGCTCCTCAGCCACACACAGGACATGCCCCCAAAGGTAAGCCCATGCAACTGACACCCTACGTCTGCCCGTGAGGGACAGAAAACTACCAGGCATATGATGATCTCATATAAAGACAGTTTGGTCCGTAATAGGTTGCCGGAGGAATGTGAACCAAACCAGCGTAACCTACTGAGGGGGACCCACTCCATGCGGCGAAATATTGCGAGAGGAAATGTCAGCATGATAAATGATGAATAGCCAGGCGTCGTGGTTGGAAAGGCTGAGCAACCCTGTGATAGAAATTCCTCAATAATTATACTTCTCAAAAGAAGTGTTCTTCTGTACGCATCACATTACACGGCCCGATATCGATTTAAGTTCCGTTTTCTATAGAGATTCTCTGATACAGTCCTGGGTATCGTACCCAGCCGTGCGGACCATGTGCTTTTCTGAGACTAGGAATAACATCTCTGACCAATCAGCAATCAGCTGCGTCATGGAAAATCATAATTGCAGATCTGAAGGCTACAGTTAATACCTAAAGGGGATTCTGATACAGGGAGCACCTGCATTCTGTCCTGCAGGTCACCAGAGTCAGAAGGCATCTGAGCAATCAGAAGAAAAGGAATCCGGGGAAAGGATCTCCGATTGGCCACGTGGTGAGTTTCCATCATCGGAGGCTAATTGTTGATTGGTAGGAATATCCCTTTATTTAGACACAGCCTTCAAAGATATGGTGATGCCCATCTGTTCATCTTTGTCGATTTCCGCCCTTGGTCGGTGGCCTGTAGTCACAGATTATTTCGCAGGTACAATGCAGAGAATGCTTGTTGTGATGTATTCAGCCAAAAGAACGTGCTTTGCATGCTGAACCCAAAGCAGCATTGAAAATGATTAATCTGCCTGCTTTACAGCAAGGGGAACCCAAGAGGAACCACAAGAAAATCACCTGTTAAGAGACGTGAGCAAACCGCAGCCAATTAAGAGGCGCAGGCTGTACAGATGTGCGGCAGCCAATTCATTCCTGACACATTTGAAACCCACCAACCTGACATCTAACATACTGTTTTCTTTCCATACAATGCCTAAGACTTTGCGGCTCAGCATATCTCTTGCCTCGGTAACAATTTCTTTAATGTATATTTTCTTTGGAATGTCAATCAAAACATTATATATACATTTTTAACTACGACTTGTTATAAAGCTGTTTACCAAAGCCCATTAAAGAACGTTCACGGTACATGGAGTCCTCCGTTTCAGGTGCGAGGCAAACCCGCGCTAAATTAATTATCCAACTATGCAGACCGCTGCACAGACGTAAAGAACAGCTCTTAGGACCGTGACTGAATTTATGCCTGAGGCAGCAGGGGGCCGACGCGTGTTTGAAGGAGCCCTTTAATCCCCGACTGAACTCCGCGCGCCAAAAGCTCACCACTGCATTCCGAGGAGAGGGGCTTTAATGCCAGAGGCCACACGGCGTTAACCATCAGCGCGGTCTCTGAAGCACAGCCCGTCATGGGGGAAACGGGCACGACTCCCACCGCAACCCGCTCTTCGCTACAGCAGCTATGCCAAGCCGACACTTGGCTGCCGGCGACCACGGAATCTGGATGGCGGGAGCGGAATCGGCCGTCTAAGCTCGGGAGGTTCAGTTACCAGGGCCTTCGGTGAAGCCGGTTCTTCAGAAGGTAATGAGCATCTCGTTCATCTGGGTCGTGTGCAGCTAATGGGTCAGAAAATGTACACCAGGGCTCAACCGGTAAGCTTATTCCGGGGCACTACTAAACGAAAGAGGTGCCTCTGTACAGTGCGCTTCTTAAACATGCAATGAGATCAGGACGGCCATGGGGACAGACGGCCATGGGGACAGACTGCGCCAGTCTCCCTCAAGCTTAAGCATTAAGGCATTTAACAAGGTTCCAACTCCAGAGCCGAAAATGGTGCCAGAATTGGACATAAACATGCAGCAAACATCTGAGCGTCCTAGATAAGGCACTCGAACTGAAACGCGACCAGAATGACTAGGAATACCATGTGTTTATCTATGGTGATGGAGACCAGTGGCTTCCGCAGCATAAGCTATACAGAAAAGGGTGCATTCCCAGTACTGCTCATTTGAGAGTCTGGAATAATTTCGCTTTCTTTTATCTATCAGAAGTGGTTTTTTATTATTATTATTTGGTTATACTCCAATAATCCCAGTGACACGATTACAAAGCTCCATAATTTACCAAGAAACAGAACAAACTGGAGGCAGCATGGGGAGGAGCGTGGAGCAGCAAACCATTAGAGGTTTCCCAGTAGCACACGGCCCGCCGCCCCACAGGCATCCGGGGATTTTAATCACAGGACCACTTTAGTCCGCATACATTATGCATTATGCTACATGTTCACCAAATGTTTTTAAAGGCTCATTAGGAATCATTAGTTTTGCAAGCAGCTGTTGCCAGCGGTGATTTATGCACATAGTTGCTACCAACTGTAGTGAAATTTCCTGGTGATCCACGTACCCACTACTGCCAAAATGCCAAAAACTTCAGTTCGGCTTGAGAGAACAAATCTGAGCTTCTGAACTCCGAACAGCAGAGGGCGATAGAGAAGACCCATTCCAGTATACCGCATACACATGCGCTTTTCCCTGGGTAACCCTGTGCTTGCCTTTTACTTGCAGCACTTTCAAATGAGGGGGGGGAGGAACTGCCCTTATTCCTACTCCCTCCCAGGACTCAGGTACTGACATTTCCAGGCATATTACTGCACATCGGGAGTATTAAAGCAATGCAGAGTCACAGCTTGGCGGGGAGTTTGCTCAGCTGGTCCTTCAGCTCCATGCGGGCGATGGAGGAGAGGTGGACCTCATCGGGCCCATCCGCGATGCGCAGAGTCCGCACATACGCGTACCTGGAGGGGGGGGGCACCTTTACACCACAGCAATCTGACAAGATTTAGGACTAAAAATTCAATCAGACTGGCTGCTTTACCGACTTACATCTGAGCCAAGGGGAAGTCCGCTGACAGTCCGGCCCCCCCGTGCACCTGAATGGCACAGTCCACCACCCTGCAGGACATCCTTCCAGCGGCCACCTTGATCATGGCGATCTGTGTGTGTGGGGGGGGAGTGGCAGGTGTTAATTATTGATATAGGGTGACTTACTGTATGTGATTTCTACACTAAGCAGCCTTCTCCAACATCAAGGACGGTCTTCTGCGTCTTCGCCCATTAGGTAGCCCGTCTACAGCTTTTCATTAACAAGCCCCCTCCCCCCAGCCCAGGCACCAAACCTGCTTTCTGGCTTCCTTGCTGCCGCTGACGTCCAAGCAGTGGGCGGCGTGGAGGGTCAGCAGCCGCGTCTGCTCAATGGCGATGCGGCACTCCGCGATCCAGTGCGCGATTACCTCCTGCAGCCACCGGGGGCAGTAGCGTCACGACTGGGGAGGACCCTATATCATGTATGGGTGTGTGCATATAGTATGTACAACACACAAATTCCCCACTACACTGAAAAAAAATGTTTAATAAAGGTAAATTACGTAATTTCAGCTTTACAGACTGCCCGACTGTTCCGTTCCTTTCCGACAGACAGATCACAATGTCAAAATGGACATATGTCGGAACTGGTATATATAATAACAATATTTTATATATAAATTTTTATAAAAATTAATCTGGGTAACACTTTACTTAAAGCAGTCGTCATAAGCAGCTTCGAAATGCATTGTAACAGTCTGTATAAGAATTACAAGGGCTTGGACTGCATTATGAAGGTATTTAACGCTCATTATAGATAAGAGCTTCATTAGACTATTATTATCATTATTATGATTATTATTATTTTATTAATAGCCTACTGAGTAACACACTACATAATAAACATTGCTATAACGTGTTATGTCTTTTTATATATAGTTATAGGCGTGTTTATAATACCTTATAAATGCATTATGACGCATTATGAAGGTCTCTATAATGCATTATACATGACTTAAGTAAAATGTTACCTACTGTAAATAAAACATCATCTTTAAGTCTTTAGCCTTATCGAAATAGTGCAAGAAAGCAAAAGTCTTTTGGGCATCACAATCCTCATCTCATTAATATTTTAGCCACACTACTAATCTGCTGACCAAATGGCGGACATAAATAAACGTCCGTACAGTACCGAAAAGCCAGCGTCCGGGCAAATGTTTCACCCGCCATCTCAAGCCCTGGTGATGATGGTGCATGCACCATATAAATGTGATTATATCACGACAGCCCTATATGATTCTTAAAGCTCACGGTTGGGGTATTTCCCTCAATATGCCTGCGTTTTACGTCCATCCTCATTTCCCCCCTGTCACCCCTAGGGGGCAGCAGCACAGGAACTCATTCAAAGGGTGTGCAGGCCAGCAGGATGGAAAGAGACGGCCTCTCTGTTCCCAATCCCACCCGCCTTAGCCTGTGCGGGGGAATGTGGGGGCCCGGGGGGGCCTGGATGGCTCCGAGGGCATGTGGTGGCGATACGCCGAGGGACGCAGAGACAGGCAGGCTGCGGTGACGGCGATGCGAGCGATAAAGTGCCGCACAGAAACGAGCGACAGGAGGCTAAAGCCGCAGGCACCTGCTCCCTATTAGCATACAGCCCCCCCTGGTGGACCCCCATGGCTACTGCCAAGGGCATCAATACAAACATCTTTTCGCGCTCAGGAACTTCCCGGCCCTATTTTACTGGCAGTACAGTCACGGCACACGGATCCGCCGCGCAGATCTGCCGAGGTACCGCGAGAGCGCCAATCGGAGCATTCCGGCCACAGCTGGAGCAAAGCCCCCCCCCCTCCATTGGCACAGAGAGAAGCAGAGAAGGCTTTGGAGGAGAGGCTCACAGGCAGCGCGTCTGCGTCCACTGCAGAGAACGTCTCCGTCCCAGAGCACAAAGAGAAAACGCTGAACATCTAGCAAGGCTGAAATGAAGTTCGGAACCCCTGACAACCAGAGCCATGCCAGGTGCAGGTGTGTGTGTGTGTGTGTGTGTGTGTATATATATATATATAGCGCTACATGTTACATAACTGCCTGGCGCTGTTAAGGACATATGCACATTGCTTCTCAGGGGTCATTAACCCCGCTCGGGTAATTACACCCCATGTGACGCCCCCCCCCTCCCGGACTCACGTGTTGGTACAGCCTCTTCCCGAACGTGCTCCGCTGCGCCGCCCGCTGGCACATGAGCTCCAGGGCGGTCTCAGCCAGCCCCACGGCCCGCATGCAGTGGTGCAGCCGGCCCGGGCCCAGGCGGGCCTGGGCGATCTCGAAGCCCCGCCCCTCGCCTGCAACACAACACTTTCAGCCATCCAATCCCGTTTACCCAGTATGCTGTCACTGGTAAGCCTGGAGCCTATCCCAGGACACACAGGGCACAAAGCTGGGAGCTCCCAACATGAACATCCAATACCCAAATACACTGCCCTGTATTCCATTTTCTTAACACGCAGTCACACTCCAAACACACCGACGTGATTTGCACCGTTAACTTATGGGACCTGCCCACCTGTGCACGATGGGTGTGATGCTTCTGAGTCACCCGAGCATGTGGAAGCACAAACATGATGGGGGGGGGGGCGCCTTACCTAAAACGATGCTGGACACAGGAACTCGCACGTCGTTGAAGTTGATCTCAAAATGGCCGCCGTGGATGGCGTCTACAGTGAGAGTCCTGGGTTAAGCATCGGGTTCCTCCTCTGGCGGCCAGCATATCACCCTTCAGCCCCCCTCACTGGGTTATCGAGGCCCCCCCCAATCTCACCATCCTCTCCGAACACCGTCAGCGGCCGGACCAGCTCCACGCCTGCTGTGTCCAGTGGGACCAGAACCATGCTGTGCTGCTTATGCCTGAAAGAAAACAAAGTATTGCTTCAACGGGAAAGTCTTTTGGGGGGGACTCAGCCATCACTGCCAGTTTCCAAAAGGAAGGGGGGGCAAATTCTGCCTCAAAGCGTTGAAATCTACCCAGTGAATAACCTCCCTCTGCATCAAAGTATCAGTTCTGCCTGCATTGGCAGCTCAAGCCCGCAAATGGCAGCGCTTTAAATGCACACAGGTGGCGAGTTGGGCAGGTCGCCGCCCTGCTGGCCGAAACACAAACCAAACACACTCCCTCTATGGGCTCCAGAGATCAGTGCCAGAGGTCTGAGGTAATTACAAAGTACAATTACTTTGTTATGGTGCTAAACTTTGTTTTTCGTGATTTTCTCACGATTCTTGAAGCAATATTTGTCTCTCTCTATTATTTTGCGTTATATATTGTCTTTATGAAGACCTCTGTCCTGCAGGGTGGTGGACTGTGCCAAACAATATGTAGAGATGCACAATATATTAGTTACCACGCTGAAATTGCCGTCCAATATTTACTTCACCAGTGTTAGCTGCACTAGAGCTGCTACTGAATTAATGGCGCTGATTGCATTGGACAGTCAGCTGTTTCTGGAGTGGAGGAGGAGGGCATCAATCAGCTTATTCACCTCTTAGAAGAGGCCTAAAAGTACCGGCCCATCAAATGTTTATAATTCATTATTAAATCTAGCCCATAGATCAATCTGTTGTTTTCCACGGGAACGGAAAACAATTTAACGTCACTCTGGTGATCTGCACCAGCAAGCCTAGCAAGTTTCACTTCTTTGTCTAAGTAAAAGTGAAAATATCCACTTTTCCTCTTGTGATTCAGTTTTCCCCAGTAACTTACAATGTTACATTTAAACCTTTAAAGTATGTCTTGTAAGATCAATAGATGTGAATGTGTTGTATCTTTTAATACTTAAACCAGCTACTTTTTTACCTTTACCTGTGAGCAGTGTTTCACTTTTACCTAAGTAACATTTTGGTGTGGGCATCTGTACTTTTACTTGAGTACGAAAACTCAGGACTTTTTCCTCGGATGCGTGGTCTGAGCTCTTATTAAATCCACATCTCACTGACACAAAGAAATAAAGATGTAAAGCTTTAGAAAAGTCAGCTTCACGGCCTGGAGTGCAAGACAATGAAAACCAGGCATTTGTACAGCCTGACTGGAGACCCACGCGGGGACCCTGCGGGTGTTTACATTACTGCGCGGACGAGGTTAACCGTTTGATTGTTCCAAAATGTCTGCGGCCCTGGTGAGCCTCCAGGCCGAGGCTGAATCTCCTTCCGCGCTAACCCCCTCCCCCCCCCACAGCCTTTTACAGAGCTGGATGAGCAGTAGGGGTCCGGCTGGGGCCCCTGAATGCATACACAGGCCTCTCCGGGAAGGGAGCCTGACAGGAGGATTCGACAAGGTCAGCTGACGCGATTTTTGACGACGATAGATGTGGGGATGACGGCTTAAATGAGTCAAAGAGCCATTGCGCAGCCCAGCAGTGGTTATAAGCTTAGTCATAAATAGAACGGCATTAGCAAAAAAATAAATAATTACACGCCAAGGTGGCAAAGTTATTAAACAAACGGTTTAGGAATGGCAGGCCGGTGCGGGGGCTGAGTGAGGGAATCCCCACATTACTGGCGGGTGGAGAGGAAGGTGAGGAAACTGCTTTTCTTTATTTATTCAGAGGGAGGACCTTAAGAGGGGCGTAGGAAACTAACTTGAGTCCAGTTCGGTCCAACAGGACCTGGCCCGGACCAGCTCCAACTGTCCCAACGTATACAAAAATGGGGGTTGCAATCATTTCTTGGCCAGGGCTGATGTTGGTCAGGGCTAATTTACAAAAGAAACTGTAGTACCGGTGATGTCCAGCAGGGGCAGCGGGACAGGGGAGGGGGGCCTTCAGACATTAACACAGCCAATTCAGACTCAGCATCCTTCCTTTGCTTGGGGTGGAATTTATAACAAACAGAGAAGCGTTACACGGAAACGCACCGCACATTCGGCGCGACCGTCCAAGGACAGCAGGGCCCGGATGGGCCTGACTGGACCGGAGGCCGTACTGTACCTGTTCCTGGCACCATGTGACTCGCTCTGGCACAGGACAATGGCGATCTTACAGTTGGGGTTGCCAGCACCTGAAAGAGATTAATTTTCGCAGATTGTTATCATTTCTGTACAACCACGCTTCCCTGTGAAATCACACCCACATCACAAGCAGTTTATCACCTTGTACAATCACTGCAGATTCCTGCAATGGGTGGGGGGGGGGGGGGCACTGTTACAGCACATGATCACATGATCTCGCCCAAGTGATCATGCCATAAGAGTTCTATATCTTTGGAGCCAATTGTTTGACCACTGTTTGTCATTCAGCTTTGCTGCGGACAGAATTCCCCTGTTGGACCTTTCGCTGTGAACAGAATTCCCCTGTCGGACCTTCATGCAAAACCCTGGGTCTTGGGTGCCGAATTTCAACCACAGCTGTCGCATAATGAGCTGGATCTGAGCACTAGGAGTCTCTTAAATTCCATGAAAATTAGGGGGGGGGGCAAACATGGACTCATAAAATATTTACTGGAAAACATATTGACTTACAAATGTAGGACTTTGTAGAATTATTTCAATCAGATGTGTAGTCGGGCTAAATCTGCAACGCTGGACATGTCATGGCAGAGCAATACACCTGTTTGTGTCCCATCCTTCACGGCGATAACAGAATCCAGAGACACCCAGGGAGAGTTTGGGGAGGCCCACCCTGGACCCGCGGGGCCCCAAGATCCCTCTCCACCTTCCAGCCTCACAGCAGCCAGCTGCTCCCCGCTACTGACGCAACCACCTAAGTAAAACACCCAAGGGTGCAGGCTGGACGGGGTCATCGAGGGCCAATATAAATACACAGCAGCCCAAATCAGACATCCGAAATGCCTTTTTCCCCCAAGGAGTCGTTCCGGGTGCCAGAGCCGGGTACGTTCAGCCGCAGGCTCTGTTCATCCAGGAAGTGCAGTCTGCATCATGTCGCAGAAATGCTTGGGGCAGAACCCAACGAACCGGCGCGATGGCAGAATGCAAAACACCATGTGACACACCCATGTTCAGAAGAAAAGGCTCCAGCCTTTAACCCCCCTCATTTACAGTAAATCCATCCCTTTATGTAGCTGCAGTGTGTTATAGTGATGTAACACAGATAAGCTGGCCTGATAGCTGACAGTAGCCCGTCCACAAGTGCTGCCTGACACCCCTGGTGGGTGTTTTCCTTGCAAGGCAGAAGAGCTTTTGCACGGTGACTCACGCGAATGTGAGGACCGCCTGTTGGACGAGCCCTGGCATGTCTGATGGAAGGGAATCTGATAAAAAAGCAACATTCCGGAACACTTTACAGCACTACAGTGACAGCCGACGGACAGGGGCATTGTACCCAAGTGTGTCACCTCAAGCCTGGCTGGCGTGGCCCGATGGCATAACTGTAAAAACCCGTCTCCACCACACGACCCTCTGAAGGCCTCATCTCACTGTCCATCTGCGACGTGCGGACGTCCCTGACCAGAAGGGTACTCGTGGGATGATTATCTCGTCGTACTATGTTCATGGCGAGACAGAAGACACTACATATCTGCTATCTCACTGTTCATCCCGTGCTTCTAAATTTCAACGACAGGTTCTGATCGAGAACAGTGATATGAACGTCCGCGAATGTGGGGATGCAGCGGGTCGCCACAGCTTCCAGCTGCTGTAACCACGGAGACAGGGGCTAAGTGGCTCAACTCAAAGGAGATGGAGCAGAGAGAGCAGAGGCCGCAGGGCAGAGCAGAGAGGGCAGAGGCCGCTGGGCAGAGCAGAGAGGGCAGAGGCCGCAGGGCAGAGCAGAGAGGGCAGAGGCCGCTGGACAGAGCAGAAAGGGCAGAGGCCGCAGGGCAGAGCAGAGAAGACAGAGGCTGCTGGGCAGAGCAGAGAGGGCAGAGGCCGCAGGGCAGAACAGAGAGAGCAGAGGCTGCAGAGGCCGCAGGGCAGAGCGGAGAGGGCAGAGGCCGCAGGGCAGAGCGGAGAGGGCAGAGGCCGCAGGGCAGGGCAGAGAGGCCAGAGCAGAGAGGGCAGAGGCTGCAGGGCAGAGCTGAGAGGGCAGAGGCTGCAGAGGCCGCAGGGCAGAGCAGAGAGGGCAGAGGCTGCAGGGCAGAGCAGAGAGGGCAGAGGCCGCAGGGCAGAGCAGAGAGGGCAGAGGCCGCAGGGCAGAGCAGACAGGACAGAGGCTGCAGAGGCCGGAGGGCAGAGCAGAGAGGGCAGAGGCTGCAGAGGCCGCAGGGCAGAGCAGAGAGGACAGAGGCTGCAGGGCAGAGCTGAGAGGGCAGAGGCCGCAGGGCAGAGCAGAGAGGACAGAGGCCGCAGGGCAGAGCTGAGAGGGCAGAGGCCGCAGGGCAGAGCTGAGAGGGCAGAGGCCGCAGGGCAGAGGACAGAGGCCGCAGGGCAGAGGACAGAGGCTGCAGAGGCCGCAGGGCAGAGCAGAGAGGGCAGAGGCTGCAGGGCAGAGCTGAGAGGGCAGAGGCTGCAGGGCAGAGCTGAGAGGGCAGAGGCTGCAGGGCAGAGCTGAGAGGGCAGAGGCTGCAGAGGCCGCAGGACTGAGGCACGTGCTACAACACAGAGGAAGAAGGATTAATATTGATGCATCATGCATTTACTGTGCGTTTGTAAACAGGGTGTGAATCTTCTAAATATAATGTCTAATAGCACTAATGCTAATACTAATTATAATGTCATTCAATCCACCCATCAAGTAGCTGTATTCAGAAGCCTAAGGATTAGTAATACCATTAATCAAGCAGTACAAATAACAGATCTACATTAAAGAAGTAACTGTATGGCCACACACACACACACACACACACACGCAGGATTGTAATTATATCTTTGTGGGGACTCTCCATTCATTTCTATGCGGAAAACTCTAATCCCAACATGACGACCCTAACCACTACCCAGCCCTAATCTTAACCTTAAGGAACCAAACAAAATACGAGACTTTTAGCACTTTTACTTTTTCAAGACTTCAAGACTTTTTTATTGTCATTGTACAGTTGCCTGGACAACGAAATTAGCTAATTTTTCGATTGCATTCACAGATCTGTATGGGGACCTGAAAAAAGGTCCCCACAATGTGGGGGGGAAAAAACAGGTTATCATCACATTGTGGGGTACATGTGGTCCCCACAATGTATTATATGATAAAAAGAGTCTGGACAGCCAGAGGCTTCCAGTGACAGGGCTAGAGAAGTCAAACGGAAGACCAGGCTGTGCCTCTTTGCCAAAAACACAACTCAAACCTCCCCAGAGGGAATTGCCAATGCTTATAAACTGCCTTCCCACTTCCTGGCAAAAATAAATAAAGCCACAATAACGCTATTGTTATCTTCTGGAAGACCTAGATGACCATCTTCGCGGAACAGTGACAACATCCTCCAAGCATCCGCACATCTGCTCCGGAATCAGGACACACGGCGCACCACCAGTCAAAGGCGTCACGGGACCCTGGCCCCCGCCATCGCGGCGATAGTGCCCCCCCCGCCATCACGGCGATAGTGCCCCCCCGCCATCACGGCGATAGTGCCCCCCCGCCAGCACGGTGATAGTGCCCCCCCGCCATCACGGCGATGGTGCCCCTTTACACGCCAGCCTTCTGTAATATACAGAGCAGATCATTTGGATTTATAAAAGAGCAAAAGCAAATGAATTAAGAAATATATGAAAAAATCCTTTAATGTTATACATGTCAAAAAGTCATTTTTAAGCCACATTCAGCCAAATGCGATGGACTTTGTAGGTAAGCGTGCACTATGTACAGGAAACCGTATTATGAGAAGTACACTTCCTATTCTCAGGACCCAGAAAGTGTTCAAAAAGTCACAAGTTGTCACGGAAAAAAATCGGAAACAAGATGGAAAATCCTAGAAATGCTGGGAGCCCCTTTAATAAGGACGTCAGTGAGCAGCCCTGTCTGAGTAAAGTCCAATCACACCTGCGGATTTCTGGCAGCGCAGCAAGGCTGGAAGGAAGCGGCGCGGCAATCAGAGCCTGAAATGCACAGGTGTTTGAATGCTTGACGCCTCTCTCCTGTGACAGTGTGCAGACATATTAATTACGTTCCTTTCATAAGGCACAGAGGTGTGGAAAAGCTGTGCCTCTCACCTGCTGGTGTCAGGTGTCCTCCCAGTATGCCAGAGCGACTGCTGGGGGAGCCCCACACCCCCCCCCCCCCCCCCCCCCCAGGCCCCCCCCTGTCCCGTCCCCGCCTGCCGCTCCACAGAGCACACCCCTCCATGGCCAGGGTGAGGTGTTCCTGGAAGCTGTTTAGCGAGAGGGGTGGAGGAAGAGCTCTGGACGAGTGCAGAGGGAAGGCAGGCAAGGCACAGAGAGCTGAGTGAGGACGGCTGTGCGTGTCTGACGTCTCCACGAGTCAGCAAGCGAGGAGGAGGTAAGGGCTGACGCCTCTCTATTACTACATGACATCTTTTAGCGGACGGCATCAGGGCGAATGGGACAAGCCATCAGAAACTGACTGCATGCGTCCAAAACTAACAGGAAAGAGCCGTGCTAGCGCAGACCCGATGCGACTCGGATGTGCGTGCAGGACTGCGACGCAGAACTGTCACTACGGCGACCGGAGGGGAAGGCAGAGCTGCTGTCCGTGTGCCGACAGCACCGTCTCCCGGGACGAGCGCCGAAGCCTGCATGCCTGCACGTCCGGAACGAGTTAAAAACCTAAAGCAGGTTCTGGAAATTCTGCCAGATTAGTCATGCAGCCTGCCTGCCATTCAGGTGACAGTGGGAGCTGTCCTGTGTAAGCACGGTCTCGGAACGAGAAGAAACCGCAAGCTACCCCAACGCATGGCAACGAGGGACGCTGCTTTACTCGGGAGGATAATCCCTTAGATAAGGCAGCCGCCGACTGACTTTGGGCTGCGACGGGAGTGCCGGATCAGCGCTGAGTGTACGCGCTGACACACCGAGCAGATGGCGGGCGGCATCGCGCGGCACGCGACGGGAAGGTTCCGTGTCAGGCAGCACCTACACTGATTACACTCTACAGATCTCAGCATGTCAACGAGAGGATAGGAGAGTCAGAGCTTGAGAGACTGACAAACTATGTAAAACATCCATGCATCTACAGTGCTAATGCTATATATTTAAACAGATGACATGTAATAGTTCTGTCAGCCATTCGTGTGATTTTAAACACTATCGCATACTAAGCAGTAGTTTTTTTTTTTTTGTTTTTTTTTTTTAAAAAGCTGGGCAAAAGGAAGTTAGAATATCACTGATTATTTAAATAAAAACAAAACAAGTACGAAATGTCCTACAAACACAGCACCCTAAATAAGCACCATATTTCTGATCTACCTAAACAGAAAGTTTGCTGCACAGTCTGCACAAAACGGTGTTAAATATCAAAGACATCGTCGTACTTATAAAGTGCAGAAATGCACACGTGGGGAGCTTTGTGCTAATGCTGGAGGTATTTCCCCCGCATACGGAGAACTTGGCGCTTTGACACCCGGGAGGACTCAAACCTGGCTGCTGTCCTGTCGCGTTTCGGGCAGCCGCGCGTGGGGGGGGGAGGGAACACCTCCCCAGAACCAAGGCTGGGCTCATCGAAACAGTCATTCCTCCGGGGAGATGGAGGAGCAGCTTAAAGCAGGAGCAGAGCCTGGTTTTATTAGCTGGCCAGGCTCAGGAGACTGGAGGGTTTGGGGTGGGGGGGTCAGTACCCATGGGGGTGAGCAGCCCCAATCCAAAAGGAGGAGATGATGACTCCCATTATGTTCCATCTCCCAGGGTGGGGGGCGCAATTAAGAGCAGCTAGCGTCTCTGCCTTCAGAGGTCCAATCATCTCCATTAGCAAACGGGGGGGGCGGGGATCAACATTTGACTCCTGGGTGGACATAAAGGGAAACCCAGTTTCCTCGAATGCAGCCCCCTCTACTTTACGGGGAGAAGCCAAGGTGGATCCAATTTGCCGACAGGCCGCCCTGTCTCTAATGATCATCTCCATCTGGCTTCCCGCACAGCCCTGACAGTGCACAGGCCTCTCGCCCCCCTGCCCCCCAATCGCTCCCACACCACATTCCCAGCATGGGCTCCTTCGCTCCCTCCTGCCAGCAGGCCTCAGCCCCACTGTCAGGGCTGTGCGCTCAGGTGTCACTCAGGCTGACTGACAGAAGCTCTTATTCCAAGTTTTACCGCCGGACTGAAACTTCTTTAGTTCCAAGTTTTTGCTACATATAAATTTAAGTGCTTGTGGGATATTGTGTTTTTCGGGGGGCGGTGGGTGGGGGGGGAGATGTTTTCAATGAATGACTGATTCAGTCAATGCCTCAAGTCCATCTTCCTCAAAACCATACGATGCTGAGGGGCACTTTGATCAAGGAGCCGCCGACAGACAGCCGCATAAATAAAAAGTAGAAGGGGCATCGTAACGGAGGTAACGCGAGCCAGCAAAGCGCCTGAGAACCTCCATCTCCTTCCACACCTGCGGGTGACTGTGCTAACCAGCGGCACGGACCTGCTCGCCGTCACACACGCACTGGGTGAGAGACGTGTGGTGCATGTGTCCCCGCTGAAGACCATGAGTGCATCTGAGTCGCAGCAAACACCTACAAAACCACGGCTCTGGAGAAGCACGCAAAAGGATACATTCCTTCTGCCGCTGGATGCTGACTGACTGACTAAAGGGTAACTGATGCTAAGGACCATCCTAAAGGAGCATCTACAGCGAAATAAAATGGGTGCCTGAGGTTCTCTCGCTCAGACGGCAACGAACAGTTAGCGACATGTTACAGAGCCGGCGCTGATCTCGGAGCAGTCAAAGGCGTTCGGGTTTGAAACGATGACGTGCTTGGCTCTAAATGAGACAGCCAAACAGCTGGCTTGTACATCGCTCACTGAGCTTTGCCAAAACATCTCAAGATTACCGTCAGAACGGCCCCCAAGCTCCTTACGCGTGTCCCAGGCCCTTAGAAACACCCCCTTCTCATTTTTGTAATCTAACAAAGCCTTTGCTTCTTTTTCATAGGTGTCTACAAATGGAGGACACAGGAGGATACTCCGACTATGGCGACCTCGATAACGACAGCTTCTACGAGGACTACCCGACGCTGTGCGACAAGCAGGACGTGCGCTTGTTCGGGGGGGCCTTCCTGCCCGTCATCTACGGGCTGGCGCTCGTCGTGGGTCTGGCGGGCAACTCGCTGGTGGTGGCCGTGTACGTGCGGTACAAAAAGCTGAGGACCATGACCGACGTGTATATCCTGAACCTGGCGGTGGCGGACCTCCTGCTGCTGTTCACGCTGCCCTTCTGGGCGGCCGACGCCGTCCACGGCTGGCAGCTGGGCGTGGCCATGTGCAAGGTCACCTCCGTCCTCTACGAGGTCAACTTCGGCTGCGGCATGTTCTTCCTGGCCTGCATCAGCATGGACCGGTACCTGGCTACGGCCAGCGCCAGGGGGGCCCCGGCGGCCCAGGGCAGAAAGCGGATCGCGGTCTGCCTGACCGTCTGGGTGGCGGCCTTCCTGCTGGGAGTCCCGGACTTGATCTTCACAACGGTCAAGCACACGCCCAGCCAGAAGGCCTGCATCGCCGTCTACTCCACCAACATGGCTGTGGCGACCAAGGCCGCGTTGGAGATCATGGAGGTGGTGCTGGCCTTCCTGCTGCCCTTCCTGGTCATGCTGTTTTGCTACACCAGACTGGCGAGAGCCATCCGCAGGCTCCCCGAGGCCAGGCAGGGGAGGAAGCGGCACGTCTTCAGGGTGCTGCTGGCCGTAGTGGGCACCTTCCTCCTCACCCAACTGCCCTACAATGTGGTGAAGTTCTGGCGCGCCATGGACATCATCTATAACTTGGTGACGCAATGCGAGAGCAGCAAGAGCCTAGACCGGGCCATGCAGGTGACAGAGAGCCTGGCGCTGACCCACAGCTGCCTGAACCCTGTTCTCTACGCCTTCCTGGGCTCCTCATTCCGGCAGTACCTCCTCAAGATCATGAAGGCCTTCGGCCAGCAGAGGAGGACCTGGCATGGCCGGGAACAACCGAGGGAGGTGGAGATCTCCCTCAACTCCCACGAGACGTCTGAGGACACCAGCCAGTTTACTATATGACCCTGAAGCTGCAACACACAGATGTTTGAAACAGCTAAGTACAGCACCACCTATTATTGGGACTCGTCACCTTTTACGACATATATCCTGTATAACTTCCCAGTTCATAGTGGTTTTTATAAAATGCATTTGTATAGTTTTGTATCTATGCCTGCTCTGTAATTTTTTTAACTAATAAAACTACTTTGTTTTCTTAACTTCACCGCAGCCATTGCACAAATTAAATTACGATGGCGGAGTCCTCACAAAGCGAATCGTCTCAGAACCACAAACGCTGCCTTTTCTTCCCGCTGGGTGTAGTTCAGAAACTCCTTCCCCCTTCATGTGTTTCCAATCTGTGGACACACCACACACTTGGGTGGGGGGGGTGGGGGGTGAGCTCAATCTGGATGTATGATGCCGCATTCTAGGGGCTTAAAAAAAAAAAGTAGTAAAATGCAGAGCAGTTCTAACTGTCCCAGTGTCTGCATGCTGGGGAAATGGAGGGAGGAAAAGCCACAAAAGGAACAGAAAATGCTTCGGGAACTCTGGCCGCGCTGAGATCATCGCACTCCCCAGGAGGTCCGGTGGGCAGGGGGTTACGGCTACGAAGAGGAAACAACAAACAACTAAACGGAACCGAAAGGCCCTCGGGAGATCGGCATAGTCAGACTGAATGCCAGAGAGTGGTCTCTAGGGGGAGGGGGGGGAGGGGCATGAAGCGGACAAATCACCCCGATCTTCATTCATCCCCCGAGTTAAGGACCGCAAAGGTCACAAACGGCATGTTGAAGGAGAAGACTGACCAAGCAGGAAGGTGCAGGAAATGTCGGGGTGAGGGGGCGGGCAGACACCGTAGGGACAGATCGCACAGAACCTCGGTTAAGAATGTTTACTTTCGGAAGACAACAAAACCACAATGTTTAACAGAAGGAACATCTGGAACCTTCTACTACAGACAATGGTTCAAAACGACAGATAAAAAGTAGTGGTGAATGGCTACATATGTGTATCTAGTGCACACACACAGTAACGGCCTGGATGGAAAGAGATGAAGGACATTTGGAACCAACGGGTTAAAAAGTTACGTCAACAAAAGGATCAACCACTAGGTGCATATGCACTAGGAGCTTAAGCACTGATCCAGGATCAGGTACGTAAGCAGGAGCAAAGAATACAAGACAGACCAATTGCATAGTCTTCTGAGCACAGACTGAAAACCTCTAGTTACGTAAGACCACTCATTGCGTGTAAAGGAAGTGTGTGAAGAAAAATTTACGAGACACTTGGATTTTAAAATAAAATGAAATAAAACACAACACTGGTGAGAAACAGACAGAGAAAGACTATAATTTAAAAACCACAGTGACCTAATTAGAAGAGACACAAGGGAATATGAAGACGGACATCCATCACGAGATCAGTTCTCATGAGCTGGGGGACTGGAACTGCTGCTCTCATCACTGAGAAACACTGTGGCAGATTCACTGCAATCCGCAGAGAAACGGTGCAGCTGAGAGCAGAAGCATGTTTGCTCGTCTCCCATGAAGACCTACAGCATAACAGCTGATGATGTTTGCCAGTCTCCCATGAAGACCTACAGCATAACAGCTGACGATGTTTGT